GGCCTCCCCCTGGGTGAGGGACCCCTGAGGGGGCAGTAAAGGGAGGTGTGTCCTTACAAATGTGGCCACCAGGAGGCAGTGTTGTCCCTGGACAGCTGCCCAAGGCCAAGGAGCCAGCCCAGGAGCCTCCAACCGGGGCCGAAAAAACCAAAAGGAAGAAAAAGGGCCCCGCCAACGAAGCCAACGGAACGGGGAAAACGGTAACCCCGGCTTTAGGTGGGCAGGGGGTGTTCTCCTCCTTGCTGCCAGCCTCACACTCCTGCCCCTCAGCATACCGCATCTCGGGTGTCTTTGGTGTCAATGTGGCATGAGTTTTCCTGTGTGTCCCTCTGCTCCTATCCGCGCCATGGACACCCCCGGACGCACAGAGCCGGCGCGGGGTTGTGGAGATGGAGGCATTGCTGGGCCCCGTCCTTGCCCGTCCACCTGATCGCGCCTCCGAGTTATTAATTTACAAAGTTAGTCCAGGAGAAAGAACCCTCCCAGAGAGAAGACGGTGCCAGGGCAAATTCTGTCGGTAGGGGCCGCCGGGTGTGCCGCTGTGCCGGGACCTTGCTGGGCTTCTCTGCAGGGACCGTCCCCTGGGCCGACTGCAGAGGTGGCACCTCCCGGGTGTCAACGGTCTATCGAGGGTTCTTCCTTCTTGTCTCCGTTTTGAAAACACGCCCGCCCTTTAGGATGTAGGTAATGCTCTGCCTCATGGAGAAACTGGCCTGGGGATCGCCCGTGCCCCTACAGGGGTGTCTGGAGAAACCATTTCCAGGGGTATCCCAAGGACCCTACTCTCTGAATCCAACAGCTGTAGAACTGGCTCCAGTCTTTCTTTGCTCTTTTCTTTTCATTGATATACTAAGCTGATCTATTTGTGTTCATCCATTTCTTAATATAGATACATATATATATACACACACATATATAAAGAAATGGAAGAACAGAAATATAAAGGTCCACAGTGGGCCTTCTTGGTGAATATTAAAAAACCTCCAATGAGAATGAATAAACAGTTTATATAATGAGGGGTCAACTAAATTGTGAATTCTCAAGAAAGAAGAATTGGTTGAAGCCTGTGGGATTTCTTGTCCTCATCTGCTGCAGAGCTGCATGTCTGGGCGTGCTGTGGGTCCATCCCTGAGTGTTTCTCTTGCTTCAGGCAGATTTCAAGAGCAGATATAGAAGCAGTCATAAATACTTGGCTGTGGGTGTGCAGCGAGATATTGAGCTCTTAGTTGACAACTCTGGCTCCTGCGTACACCTGGGTGAGGCTCCCTTAGATGAGCCTTTGATGGGCACCTGCCGCCCCATGATGGGCCCACAGCTGGGAGCTTCCCCCAGGGGTTGCCAGGCTGATGGGTGACGTTTGGCCAGGCTGCTGCCCTTTTACCTGGGTGACCCGGGATGATCCTGTCCAGGACGGGTTTGACCATAGGGATGTTGACCATCAGGTCAGGGAGGCCCAGAGGGCTGGGGCGGGACAAGAGCTTCTTGTGCATGTAAAAGGGCCCAGAGCAGGCGCCGCAACGTCCTGACTGAGCACCATGGCATTGCTGCGGCTTCTCTCCTGTGTCACCCTCATCGGGACCCACTTTGGTGAGTGTCAGGGTTTGCGGAGCAGCCAGGTCCGGGAAGAGACTGGGAAGAAGAGCCCAGTGGTTCCACTTCAGGCCCCCTCTAGAGAACTGCAGGGTTCTTGGGGGGAGCCAGATGTCCAACCCTAGGGGTGTTCTGAGCCTCTCTCCTGACCCCTTGGCCTCAGTGCAGACAGTGACTCTGATGTTGCAGGAGAGAACGGCCCTGTGGGCTTTCTGAGCCCTCACAGGTATGTGTGGTATGTGAGGATGTATCTATGCCTCAGAGATTGGAGCCCAGGAAGTCACTCAGGTGTGGCACAGAGGGATAGCAAGGGGGTGATTGGAGAGATCCTCTAAGACTCCTCCTGTGATTTTATTTTGCTGGGCAATTACTTAAAAAAAAAATTAGCACAATAGCCATGTCTCTATTTCCATTTGAACAATTTTAACATTTTCCCTGTTTGTTTTAGCAATTTTTCTGACACCCAACTAGGCTCAGCATTCCTCCTACCCCTCCCCCTCCCCCGTGAAGGGGCCTCTGCTGAGTCCCTGCCTGTCACTCTGTGCAGGCTTCACACACTCACCCCCTGGGGCTCTCCCAGAACAGCGGGCTCGGGCTCCGTGGGGGAGCCCCTTCCTGTACCCCCTCCCTGTGCCTGTCACAGCTGCTGTCCCCACTGGGGTGAGACCTCAGGCCCCTCCCTGCACAGGGACCAGCCCCCTGCATTGATAGGACGCGCCTGCAGGGGCCGCCGCTCACAGCTCCTGCTGGGGGTTTTCTGTTCTTAAAAGATGAGGAGGACATGTTTGGAGTCACCAGCTTGCAGGGCAGGGCCATGTTGCTGTCCCCAGGTGCAGCGGCCGATGCTGCCTAGAGCAAGGCCTGGAAGACCCTGGGGATGTCTGGCTGTGGGAGACGCTGACCCTGCCCCCCTCCTTCCTATGGCCTAGTTCTGGGAGCTGCTGGGAGTCTTGTGTCCTGAACCAGCAAATGTGTCCTGCACATGTCAAGTGCTCCGTGCGTCCTCCCTGCTCTGGACAATTCATGTCATTTATTTTCTGTTGTCTTGATATGTCATTAGAAATGGGCAGAGTTATTGGAAAAGGAGAAAGGAAGAACAAGAGACACCTACATAGTCACAGTCAGGGAGCGAGGAGACCTTCCTTGATGTGTCTTTTCATGGTGGGGAATCAAGATCCTATTTTATAAATAATTAAGAAACTTGAATGCTGCGCAATGAAGAGTTCCTGAAATCCCAGTGAAAGAATCCAACAGTTTAAATTGGTACAAGTCTCAGTACATCAGGAAAGTGCCAGAGGGGGGATTTCCTGTCGCCTGGGGTTCTCTGTTCCACTCCTCCGCCCACATCCATCTCTTGGTGAGAATTGCCTGTGAGATTGCCTATTTTACCGGACAATGTGATCCTGGGAGAGTAGAGGGGGCTGAGGTTTCCATTAGGGACAAGGTGGGGGAGCGGGGGTGGGGCAGGGAAGCCTGATTCCTCCACCTGTGTCTGCTCCTCGGGCCAGGGGGACCCGGATGGAGCCGCCTGTCCCTCTGCATCCCTGGGGGTGACAGGCCAGCAGGCAGGGGTGTGTCTTCCAGTCTAGGTGCTGGGTGCCAGGAGGGAGTGTGGGTGGTGCTGTGCTGGCTGAGGGTGCAGCAGGTTTCTGCAGACTGACTGGACCTCCCCCTCCCCCCTCCCTCTGTGACCCCAGGCTCTGGGGCCCCTGCCAGTGACCTGGAGCTGAGCATTACCCCCAGGATCATCAATGGGACAGACGCTGTCCCTGGCGCCTGGCCCTGGCATGTGTCTCTGCAGGTGAGGGGTGTCCGTACTGTTTGGGGTCACTGTGGGGTAGCAGCCCCAATGTGAGTTGCTGCTATCCAGCCATTGCTGACCCTCTCTTCTTCCTACAGTCTCCCACTGGATTCCCCCTTTGTGGGGGCTCCCTGATCAACTCGAAGTGGGTGATCACCGCCGCCCACTGCAGTGTGACGTGAGGCCAGGAAGGGTGCCCATGACAAGGGGGGTTGTGGTCCCTGGCTGATCCTTACATGCTCCCTCCCTCTAGGACATCCAACTTGGTTATGGCTGGGCAGTATGACCGACGCTCATTCAAGGATGACATCCAGCTAGTAAAGATTTCCAAGGTATTTTAGATCTGGTGGACAAGCCTGGAGATGGATGAGGCTTTGGGGGCCGAAGACAGAGGAGAAACACTTCAACTGTGGAAACAGGAGTCAGCAGATGGGGCTCTGCTCTTCTCCTGGCCTCCTTGATCTTTGCCCACTGAAGGGGCCCCTTTCTCATCTCCTTGTCCTGGTCATCGCCTCAGATTTTTAGGCACCCCAAGTTCAAGTACAGCAAAGCGGTCAATGACATCGCCCTGCTGAAGCTGGTTGTGCCCTTCCACTGGTCCAAGACTGTGTCCCCCATTGCCCTGCCGAGTGTTGATGACATGTTCCGGGCTGGGACCCTGTGCGCCATCATGGGCTGGGGGGACACCCAACCCAATGGTGAGTGACCTGCATTGCCTCTCAGGACGTGGGTCTGTGGTTTCATTTCTAAGACAGCAGGAAGGAGCTGTTTGGCTCAGCTTTGTGGATTTGCCCAAATTTGAGCAGTGTCATAGTGTGTCAGCTTCTTTACAGAAACTCCTCATGGAAACCCAGCAAATGCACATGGACACGAGACCTGTGAAGTCCTTGGCCTGTCAGTTTCTGTGGCCCCAGCTCAGTCCAGCAGCTGCCCCATCCCCCTGCACGAGGCCTTGACGCCTCTATGTGCAGATGGGCAGGTGCAGCCGCCATCCATACTCAGCTGGGAGTCAGGTGTCCAAGGCAGCACTGGGGACCCTGAGGGGCCAGCCCGGGGCTCACCCCCAGGACACCTGCCTGATGGTGTCCTCCAGAGTCCCGAGTCCTTTTGGTCCTTCCACAGACAGCAGCCACCAGGAAGGGGCAGTGGGGAGGGAGCTCCCTGTCGCCCCCAGAGTGAGGTTTCCAGCCAGAGTTAGTCAGCCCCCTTCTCTGGGGGCTACGCTTCCCCTGAGCCCCCACAGCTGAGCTGGCAGGCAGGGCTTGTGGCTTCACCTGTGCTTGGGGCAAAATCAGCCTGGCCCGGGGCTGAATGAGAAGGGGTCAATCCCTTTGAGGCTTCTAAGATGCAATGGGATGATGGGCTCTGGTCCTGCGCCGTGTTGCTGGTGTAGGAAGAGGGAGACCAGGGAACGGCAGCCCTTAGGGGTCTAGTGTCTACTACCCAAGTTTTGTTATGGAGACGTGGGATGGGGCCCCTCATTTTCCTGTCTGCTCCCAGTCAGGGAGACCCCCGGGAAACTGCAGGAAGCCACCATGCCGCTCTTGTCCACGGCCGAGTGCAAGCGTTACTTGGGCAACATTTACAAAGACTCCATGATCTGCGCTGGGACCAATGGTGTCTGCAACTATGACGTAAGTGTTGCTCAACCCAGTCACTGACTATTGCTCCCCCCAGCGGGGCTGGAGAGACACTCCTTGCCGCAGACCCACGATCCTATTTCTTGACTGTGCTCAAGGAAGCCAGGACCACATGTTACTACATGTATGTGCAGGCATGGAAGTCTTCTGCAGGGTCTCTTCAGTCTCACACCAGCCTCCAGCCAGATGTTTACAGCTGACTTACAGATCTTGGTCCAAAACTCTCCCTCTGCCATCAGCCATAGCAGGTGGCAGAGCTGGGCTGGCATTTGCAATAGAGTGTTTCTGCTGGAATACCGAGCTTACCTGGCATTTCTCTGGGTCAGATTGGGACACCCTGGTTCTTCCCCCCTTTCAGTCTTGCGGATAGTTTCCTTCTTCTCCTACAGGGTGACTCTGGTGGCTCCCTGGCCTGCAAGGTGAAAGGACAGTGGATCTTGGTGGGTGTCGTGTCCCTACTCAGTGATGTCTGCCCCACTCAGAATCCTGTGGTGGCCACCCGGGTCACTACATTCGTACCCTGGGTTCAGAAGATCGTGGCTCACAATTGAACCCTGAACTTCCCATTCCATTGTCCTTGATCCCCAATAAAGCCCCTGCACAGAGCCCTGACTGCTTGCGTCTGTGACTGGGGCGGTGGCTGCAGTGCCCCTGTCCCCCACCAGGGGGTGGCGTGCCCCTCCCTTTCCAGCTCAGAGCCCAGAGCCCCTGTTTGTCAGGAGCTGAGGCCTCTGGGTCTGGGTCTCCCTGCTCAGGGGCCCCTGGGGGAGAGTCCACACACCTGCTGCAGCCTCAGTTCTCAGCCTGGTCTCTGCGGCTTTGGCTCCTGGGTTGACCCAAGGAGCTCGGTGGAAGGCAGGAGTGCTCCAGTGCAGGCAGCGTGGGCTCTGGGTCCAACAGACCCCCAGGCAGGCGTGACCCTCCCCACATGCCCCAGGCACCTCTCTCTGCCTTGAGCTCCTGCACCCCCACCCCAGAACATCCATGCAGTCTCCTCCCTTCCCTGCCTCTACCCAGGCCCTGCACACTCTGAACCAAGCTGCTGGGAGAGCTTCCTTCCAGTCCCAGAGCTGAACCACTGTCCTTTCAGAACCACTGTCCCTTCAGGTCCCCCTGTGTCCTTTGCTTTCCTGTGACCAGCAGCTGGATGTGAGACCTGATGAGGCTCCTGCTCAGTCCCACACAGGCTGCAGGGCTGGTCTCTGTGGGCATCACAGACTTGAGGCCTGAGACCTGGACCCTCGTTCTTGTTGGGCTTGTAGGTGGGGGTGACTCACTTATTGTCTCAGTGATTTGTTAACAAGAAAGTTTCCACAGAGGTGTGTCAGCTGTCACTCAGTGACCTGACTCAGTACAGTGTGTGTAGAACATGGGTGAGAATGTCACTGTCCACATACTCTCCTGATCAATTTTTAAAATAATGAATTTGTTTCCTTACATCCTTCAAAGAGACACATTTGTTTTGATTTTTGTTTTTGTATGGTTAGAAACTCGTGGATCTAAAGCAATCTTCGAATCCATGGTAATTATTATACTTGGAAGCAGCGAGACCGCCTGTGAGCAGTGAGGTTTATCCAGTTGGCTCTGGACAGTTGTGTGGCCTCTTGGCTTCCAAGCGTCCTTGCTCGCTGGGCTCCTAAGAGGCCCAAATACTTACTCAGCTGTTTCTCTACCTCTCACCCCCAGATTCTTTTGTTCCAGGGCACCCCAATGTGAATTGGGTTGCCTGTCTGTGGGTCTTCACTGGTGCGCTTACGATTCAATCATATTATGGACACACTCAAAAGGTTAAAGAATGGATTTATTTATAAGGAGAAAGGTAAAGGAATAACCCAGGGAAAGAGGGAGAGAAACACAGGTTAACTAGAATGTCCTACCCGTTCTGCTGACTTGGACTCCACCGGCAGCTGAAAACCGATGGAGCGCCAAAACCATCAGCCGCGAACCACCAGGTCCCCCCAGAGCCCACATGTCCGGTTTCATCCCAACCTGGCTGCTCAGCTCCGCCCTCACGTCCCTGCGTGCTTCTCCTTGGTACAGATGGGATTTGGAGTTCCTGCATCTGGAGTGGGGGTGGAGTCCATGAAACCTGTACCTGTTACACTTTGAGTTGAAAAGGCATTTTAAACCCAAAGCCTGAGTCAAGGGAGGTGCTCTTTTGTTTTTTTTTTTTTTTTAAAGATTTATTTATTCATACAGAACTGGGGTACAGGCCAGAGATGCGGAGGGTGAGGGGATTCACCAGAGACAGAGTGGGGAGCAGAACAGGCAGATCGACGAAGTACACTGCTGAGAGGAGCAGCGGGAGGGTCAGGAGAGGTCTGCCGCGCCATGTGGGTCACCTCTGGGGCAGGTGGGAATCGAATTCATGCTGAAGTGGCTTTAGCTTCTCAGTGCTGTGCTTTAACCCGCTGCGCCACCAGGGAGGTGCTCTTAATGGGGTATTGGTCATTGTCTAGACTTTTTCAGTAGCTACAGACATAACTACTATTAAGCATCTCAAGACTTCAGGGTGACGTTTCCATTTCCATCTGAGGACAGAAGCGTGTTGTATCCACTATTAAAGGAATACTCTGTCAGGACTTGAATTCTACATCAGTAATTCTCATGCTAAAAGGCTTAGGAACATGGTTTGAAAAATACGCCATATTTCTGTATTGCTTTGAGAGCTGAGATTTATACTAACAGTCTCATCACCAATATAGTTAATGTATATATATATATATATATATATATATATATATATTACTTTTAGAAGATGTTTTAATTTGCAATTTTTCACTTAAATTTTTTTCTTTATAATAGTTTATTTTTACATCATTTTGCACTTTTTTTTTTTCATCTCAATTGTAATCCCCACGGGTTTCCCATCACTGAGTCACCCATGTGACATCATCATAGTCCCGTGCACTTCCCTCCCCGTTTTTGATCCCATTCCCCACTCCACCCCCACAAAATTTCTGTTCATTATTCTTGTTATTTTCTCGCCTGGTCCATTATACTGCTGCTATGAGTGAAACCATCCGGTATTTTTCTTTTTCTTTCTGGCTTATCTCACTAAGCATGATCTTTTGCTACAAAAGACACGTGTTTCTGTTTTTTGGTTGCTGAGCAATATTCCATTGTATATATGTACCAAATCTTTTTAACCCAGTCATCTACTTTTGGGCATTTGGGCTGCTTCCATGTTTTTCCAGTTGTAAGTAAAGTAGCAATAAACATGGGGGTGCAGGTATCTTTTTCAATCAGTGTTTTTGTGTCTTTTGGATAGATACCTAAGAGTGGGATTGCTGGGTTGTAGGGAAGCTCCATGTTAAGCAGTTTGAAGAGACTCCAAACAGAATAAACAAAATATTAAAAAATAATATTTGTTGCATATATGTTCTTCCCTTTGTTTTCCTTTTCTTAATAAAAAGATTTATTTATGCATACAGAACTGGGTACAGGCCAGAGCTGTGGGGGGTCAGGAGAGGTCTTCTGTGCCATGTGAGTCAGCTCCCTGGCTGGGGATCAAACTCAGGCTGCAGTGGCTGTGGAGAGCTTCATAGTGCTGTGCTTTAACCCGTAGGGTCACCAGGGAGGGCCCTTCCTTTTGCTTTCTGTGTGAGCTCCCACTGGTAATATGTAAAGATGCTCAGAAATTTTAAATATTAATTGTCCGTTAACATTATTATCATTTATGTCATAAGACCTTTGAGCAGAATTGTTACCAGAATTGTGGTCCTGACATCTTAACCATAGTTTTCCTGTCCAGGGAAACGGATGTCTCTTCAGTCCTTTTTTTAAACACGATTATTTGTATTGATTAACAATGGTTATCTACACTGTATAACTTTTGGGGGTCCAGGGTCACCCTTCTTTAGATGAATACTGACACTCTTTGCCAGCAGAGCCCCAGGAACCTCCTATAACTGTCTATTTGACCCCTGATCTCACTGTCCCTTCCCCCCACCCTCCACCGTTGCCCTCTAGCTTCATTTCTGTCCTCAAATTTCAATGGTTTGCTGTGTTGGTTTGGGTCTCTGCACCCAGTGGCCTTGTGTCCTTGTGAGGTTCTGTGGGGGCGGCCGAGGGCCCAGGCTCCCGTGGTCTGGCTGGGTCTGCAGCGTCCACAGTCCTGGGAGTGCGTCCTGCACACAGGGGAGAGGCCAGAGGCGCCAGGGTCTGAGCCCAGGATGTGAGGGGAGCCAGACCCCGAGCTCATCACTGCCCCCTGCACCTGCTCAGGCCTGGGGACCCACCCAGAGGCCCAGGGGAGGAGGGTTATGGGGTCTCCCTGTCCCTCTGGGCTCCTGCCCCCACAGGGTGTCTGCCCCGTCTTGTGGCCCAGGGCACCTGTCTGTCTGGGGGGCAGGGCGGCCTCTGCAGCCCCAAAGCACAGGCCTGGGGAGAACCCGGCACATCCACAGCCTGTTAGGAGCCAATTAAGGGTCAGTAAAGGGGAGGCCCAGGGCTGGTCCCAAAGCTCCAGGTGATTCCTGTGAGTGATCACCTGAAAGTCCCTGGGCTGGAGTCAGAGTTCCTTGCAGCTTGGGGAGGAGGAGACCAGACCACCCCTTGTGTAGGGCCCCAAGGGGCTCTAATGGAGGATGTGTCCTTTCAACTGTGGCCACCAGGAGGCAGTTTATCCCTTGACAGCTCCCTAGGCCAAGAGTCCAGCCCAGGTGCCCCTGAGACAGCTCTGGAAACAGCTCCAGGTAGGCTGAGGTCCCTGCCAGGGAACATGCCAGAAGGTGGGCAGCACCAGGTCAGGCTTTAGGTGGGCAGAGGGCATTTGCCTCCTTGTTGCTAACCCCACATTCCTGCCCCTGTGCACACCAGGTCTGGGTGTCTGTGGTATTTATGTGTCACGGTTTTTACTTTGATTGCTCCTCTTTCCTTCTTGGTCTCTCTTTGCATTTATTTTATTTTATTTTTAAAAAGATTTATTTATTTATGCATACAAAACTGGGGTACAGGCCAGAGGTGCAGGGGCAGTGAGAGCATTCACCAGAGACAGACCGACAGTGGGCGGGTCAGGAGAACTCTGCCGCTCCGTGTGGGTCACCCCCAGGGCAGGTGGTGGTCGGACTCATGCTGAAGTGTCTTTAGCTTCTTAGTGCTGAGCTTTGACCTGCTGCGCCACCAGGGAGGGCCCTCTTTGCATTTTTGAGGTAGAATTTAGGCCACTGATTTTTTACCTTTTCTGATGAAAGTGTTGATGTCTATCAAATTCCTTCCCAAGTGAGTAGCTTCCAACACATTTTTACGGGTGTTATTTTCGTGTCCTTTACTTCAACCTGTGTCCAGTTTCCCTACTTCATTCACTATATCCATAGCACATTTGTTCATGTACTTGTGTCATTGCAAGTATTTGGTATCTACGTTCTGCCTTTGTGTAAGCCTTGCCTGGGGTTCTCACTTCTCCTACCATGAGCACCCCCAAACCCCTTTTCAAAACCAATGTGACTATGTCAACCCCAGAGATCTTAGAGGATGTTAACTCCCACCAGCCACAACCCTCAGAAGACTAAAAACATAGCAAGTTTGTTCCTCACAGATACTAAGGGGA